AAGGTTTTGTATTACAAGAAATCTACTGAATGCCAGATAGATTTTCAGTAGCAATTTTGTACATTGTCCATCTGTTGAAAGTCTGGCCCATAGTTTAATCTACCTTGTAAAACAAAGTAAATAAAAAAAATATTAACACTATTTCTGAGTTCAAATATGAACTTGTGTAATGTTTGAAGTAAATCCGGAGAGACTTCATTAATTAAATTTCAAATTTGGAGTTTAGAGAAAGTTTCTATAGTTACTTTAATATATATATGTTACCGCTATAGCTCGAAATCCGTTAATGTGCACATTACCTAGCTAATCTGCAGATTAACTAGGGTGATCCGTTAAAGCTGCGAAAATTATTCCATTTCTCAAATTACCTACTAGGCACTCAGTAAAGTGGAAATAAGATCTTTGCTGGAACAACAGCAACGTTTCTGTATGCTTAAATTAACATAATGTTATTTATTTAATTTTCAATATCTAAATAATCAAGTTATAAAACCAACATGGTTTTAATTGTAGTTAGATAATAATATGAGGACAAAGAATACATTGACCATTGGCATCAACTATACGATATACTCGTATATTTAACAAAAATACTACATTTAAAATTTTAATTTGTTTTTATGTAAGACGTGTACAGTATTTATATTATTTATCCATTAATCAAAATTTTGACTAAACTTTATGAGATTGCTATGATTATGTCATGAATTAGTTGGTTTTTACCATATTTTGCTTAAGGGTTAAACTTTCTAGTTACGCCACTGACGCAAAGGTTCTTTTTTTATATCTTTCCGCCCTGTCGACACTGAGGGCCTATATTAGCAAGCCCATTGTGGGTTCAGGTAGGCCCACAATGGGGCGGCTGGATGGTGAGGGTCCCGACATATCCGGATGGACCATCCCCGAAATTTTCCTGGGGATTTTTCGACCCGTCCGGATTCGTTTCCAGCTCCCCCCGAGCGGTAGGCTGCCACTTTGGCAGCTCGGCCATCCGGCCCGAGGGATATATGTAAAGATGTGTTGTAAAGAAAGTGAAAAAAAAATCGTAAAATCTTCTATCGATGAAATTCATGCTGATTGATCTACTGCTAAATACAGTATCTATTAATTTAGTACTATTCAATGTCATTAATCACGTAACTGTATCAGGAAGCCGCGGATTTGAGTTTTCAGTTTCTCGTAAGAACAAGGCATACTCCAGGTCCCCGTTACTCTCTGAACGGTACTGGCAAAGCCGCCACTAGGATTTTTGCTCTCCCAACTAGTTTATCTGATATTCATGGTTACTAGATGGTTATTAGATAAACTGGTTTCTTTATACAGCACTACTCGAGCGCTACACAACGAAGCGTTTCTAAATGAAGCGTTATCGTGTAGCGAACCATTTCTAAACATTTGCTGCAAGGGGTGGCTACAACAAAGATAAAGTAACTTTTACGACGGTTGTACGTGTAATGCCAGTGGCCAAATGGTCTTCATTTCTGGACACTAGGAGTTCGGTCGTAGATTCGCGCTTCGCTCGGACGGGCTGGCCACGTGGAGTTTTCAGGGTTTTCTCCAGGTCTGTAATTCCTGAATAGAGCCCAGTTTTCCTTAAAAGACCTTTCGGAAGGCCATTCCATCTAAAGGCGGCTAATCGAAGTAAAGGCTAATCGAAGTAAATAGCCTATAAAAGCTGCACACTCCATATTAACCATGGTATGAAAGACACATGTAAAGCAAAATGGACGCTTGCATGTATGACGTGATATTATGCTGTGAAAAATAAGACGAAGTGACTATTGATATTAATAAAAATGTTATGGAAAGATTAAGAAGTCGAGTTATGTACAAGTTTTATACACGTTATGTTTAATATATAAAACTAAACTGATACGTAATTCGACTTCCAAATATAAATTAAGACCTTTTCGAATGTATTTAAATTCAGAATAAAGGAACTGCTGAGCCTTTTTCCAAATTGCAAAGCCACGCTCCCTAAGAAATGACAAAAAATTATTTGTATTTCCTTAGGAATTAGCACAAGCTAGCTGTTGAATACAAATCATACTCTTTTTGAGTGGATAAAGTAGGTTTATTGTACAACTACTTTTTCACTCAAAAACAATTCCTGTGTGATTTGTGCTATTACAACGAATTGAGAGAACAGTAAGCAATCAAGTACAAAAAATTATGTTTAATTAATACGACTTAAAATTGCATAATTAATTTTTATTCTTTAAATTAAAAATTACTTAAAAGCGTTAAAATTATTTATCTTTTAATTAAAGACTTCATTACTTTAAAAGTGCACGCATTTCATCCTTCCCCAAGAATAATTGCTTTTTATTTCTTGTTTTTATTTTTTTACTATTAAAAAAAATTGGTCAATGTTTTCTAAATAAAAATTCAAAAGCTTCTGCAAAATGTATTCTCTCAATAAATTCATTAAAAATATATTACAGTAAATTGTTACAAAATAATGTCGATTCATTAATAATTAATATAATTCTTCTTCTTCTTCTTTGGCCTTAGTCCCGTTTAACAGTGGGGTCGGCACATCTGGATTTTATTTTGAATCTCCATTTGGCCCGATCATGGGCCTGGTCTGGATGTAGGCCTACGGCTTGCAGGTCATGATGTAGCGTATCCAGCCAACGCTGTCTCGGGCGGCTCCTTGGGCGGGACCCAGGTACCTCCAAATTTAGGCCCATGTGAATGATGGAGTCGGCGTCAGCACGGAGCACATGGCCATAAAGGCGCAGCCGCCACTCGCGCGCTTTCTCGTTGATCTCAGCAATGCCATACCGGGCTCTGATGTTTACGTTGGGTACTCGAGTAAGTCTGGTAAGGCCACTCATCCAACGCAACATCCTAGTCTCCATAGTAGCAAGTCGGCGGTCGACGACCTTCGTAGTTGGCCTGCACCCGACCCCATACAGTGCGACAGGCCGGACGATGGTTCGATAAATCTTTGACTTAAGTTGGTCTTTGATGCGTCGGTCGCACAGCACACTTGTTATTAAGCGCCACTTCAGCCAGGCGGCATTGACGCGTGCAACTGCCTCAAGGTACATTAAATTAATAATTAATATAATTAATTTATAATAATAAAATAGTTTATGAAAGCTTTGAGTTATATTTGTAAACTGATTATAGAGTATTTTTAAAATTTACGTCGTTTTTTATTTCAATTTTCTTTTAAAGACATTTTAATATTCAATATGACTTAAGTTGAATGTTTACAGTGAATGGTTGTCTCTTTAATCCAAAAATATTTCTCTCAGTAGACTATCTTACAGCAAGTCAGGTCAAGAAACTTTTTTATTGTATTTTCAATTCATATGCATTTCAACATATGAATGTTTACAATAATAAAAACATCCTACACAACTAAAATCCCCCGTATACTGTATATTATTCAGACACTGTATTAAAAACAGTATAAAAAGTTTATCATCCTGTTAAGCCAGTTGATAAAAAGTTTATCAACTAGCTTATTCCATAACACCAAAATTCCATAAATGAGTCATAGTTTCCATTCCTATGCCACCAATATAGATTCCATGTTGGAATCTATATTGATGGCATAGAAATGAAAGGGAGAAAATAATCTTCAAAATAAAAATAATATCTTTAGCTGATAGAACAATAAAAATAAACAAATAAACATAGCATGTACTGTACATTAATATCCAGTTTATTAGCAATATTTACATAAAATTATCCAATATTTTACTGTATTACGAATTTAATGTATGCGGAACAACTTTCTTGCTTATTTCTCCACCTTGTTGTTGTACATTTTTTTGAACCACTCGCAGACTGCAAAAAAGTGCAGTCTGCAAATGATGTAATAATGTACAACTTTTGCTGTTATAGCAACTCTGCGCACGACATTTTCACATCCCACATGCTAGAAATCCAAATTCTAAATTCACGTGCCTCTTCGTAAAAACCGACGATCTGCAGCCGAATCGATAATCATACGTTACAAAACACTCAAGAAATAAACCTGAAATGAGTAAAAAACGATACAAAAACCCTTTTAAAAAGACACGCACTAACGCGACTCCGCCTAATTTAGCCTTCCTGACGACCGGAACGCCGCCCTATCGGTAGCAGTTGTCCCTAGAACGAAAATTTATCATGCTTTATCGATTTCGGATCGGTGATCGCACTTACGTCAGTGACCATGTGACATTCATGATCGACCACGGAATTTTCCTTAATATTCCTCTCACCCAGCATCGTTTTCTTTTTGAGATTTCTTTCTTTCTCAATAAATAAACAAACGTGGTTAACGACGGAATATCAGAAACTGCCATTTTGTTTTTCGAGATGACGTTTTCTCTTGTTTGCTAAGGCCAGAGTCTGTAGATTAACTGGTCTTTCGACTTCCTATCTTCGCTCGTTGCTAAAATCAACTAGAGACAAATGTTACCACCAGGGGCACTGCAATCACTACAAGACCGCTAGATCGAATCCCTGTGAGGTCGAATGTTTTCTTTTTATTGAAAGATATATAACCTTCGAGTTCTAATTCATAATNTTCAGTATATACCTAGCAAGAACAACGATCTCCTGCTAACAGTGGCGCCGACTGGCGGCAAATATTGTCTCTAGCTAAGTTTGAACTATTAGTCGAAAGACCAGTTAATCTACCGACTCTGCTAAGGCCCACCAGGCCACCAGTGGCCAAACGGTCTTCGTATCCCGAAGACTGGGTGTTCGGTTGTGGGTTCGCGCCTCTCTCGGACGGGCTGGCCACGTGGAGTTTTCCGGGTTTTCTTCACGTCTAAGGGTTGCATTTTTAAATATTTTCGCAAATGTAGTCCGCCATACTTGGCGGGGGAATTTGAAGTGTAATATATTTTACCTCGATCGAAAAATGAATTAATGAATAAAGTATTTAAAAAAAAATCTAGATGTTAAACTTTTAAAATTAAATAGTATAATTACATCCATAATAAATTTCATTTATTATGGATTAAAATTATATTAAGGAATAAAATTGGAGGTTTTTGGGCTACAAAATTTTGACGCTAGGTGGCGGAAGTGGTTTGGTATCAAGTGGCAGACGATTTTCCCGACTTTCGTTGATAGAATTTTTGATTTATTTTTTTTCCTCGATGGCCCCCGTTTTATCCAGGTTCGTTTCAGAAATATTAATAAATTTTAAGAAATAAATCTTAATTATAATCTTTAAAAATTAAAAAAAATTGATTTTAAAAGATAAAAATTACATTTTTATTTCATACCAATTGTTTATTTCTTTTTATTTGCATTAATATCATTTATTTTCAACAATTTTACAGCCTTCTTGTTAAAATTTCCATTATAAGTCAGTTATATTGGACAATATTTGGGTAAGATGTAAACTCTGAATGAAGGGTTCCAATTCCTTAATTGTAGACCCTCGACACGAGCCGTAAAGTCATAGGAACCGTATCCGTATGCAAAATCCTTTGCCTCCGAAGGTCGATTTTTACCGTCTACTGGTATACTGCCTGTTCTTCGTCCTTTGCCTCCATTGAGGCCGGTTATCGCTTGCCTTGACCGACACTTTGCAGTTAGTTGTGCACTGGTGCGAGCGATGGTGAGCGTCAAAGCACCCTTGTGGGGGTGAGCCCTGCACCCCTCTATATAATGTTGTGTGATCTTTGAACGGTCGAGTGGGATACTCTGATCTGGCATGGTTGCGTGGGCTAAATTGTTTAATAACGCTTTATTATCTTGAGACATGAGGTGCCATGGAGGTTACGTATTACGTACTTAAATTTTATACGGTAAAGTAAAATTACGAAGGTTATGTAAATTTGATGCAAGATGCAAAAGGGTAATGGCTAACGTGTATGCATTAGATTAATACTAAGATACTTGTGTTTACAAAATACTAAAACATAAGAAATTATTGCAGAATAACATTTTAACATAAACATACTATACAATTAGTATTGCTTGTGCTCTCAATTGGTTATATGTTTCTTGGAACTAAGGATAAAACTGCTATTGAGAACTTATTATGCAGCAACATTTCTCTTGATGGATAAAGTTCTCAATAGCAATTTTATTCTTACTTTCAAGGAACATTCAACCAATACTATACAATTAATTTGACCTAGAAAACACTTACACTACTATTACATAGATATCATCATAATCATTTAAATTCTAATACAAAATATTTAAATTCTAATACACAACTTTAATACAAAATAAGATAAATTTAAGTAGTTAGTTACATACATGTTGCTACATACACATTAGTTCAATGAAATAGTTTAGTGAAGCGACACCACTCCCAATTACGTGTGACCTGGAAATATGCTGATTTTGGGGGCATGTCAGTGGACCTTGGAGAACCACTTGGTGCTTGCTGGCAAACTGTTGGCCAGGTGGTCCACAGACTGATCAATTTCCAAAATGCAATTTTAAGCTGTTTAGCCAAAGAAAATATTATTTTCATGCATCGTGTATTACTGGATAGATTGTGTGCCAAAGTATTTTGTTTATAAATATCTAAGATGGATAAGAATTGGATATAGTATGTCCTGTCCACATCTTATCCTTTTCAGTTACAGATAAAATTACAGCTGTCCCTTGATAATCTGACAGGTATGGACCAAAGGGGTGTCGGATTACCAAAAGTGTCCGGATTACCGAAAATAATTACATATTTGGCATTGTTTTGCTAGCAGTAGCCTACAATATTTCCTACTCCAACTGTTCGAACAGAACTGCTCACGGAAAACACACAAAATGTGTGTCGTCGTGTAAGAATTGGGTGGGAAGATAGACGTTGTGACATGCTTCTGTGCAAGCAGACACGTAATGGGGATGGATACCTTGACGGGAGGTGCTACGGACTACTGAGCATGTCGGATTACAAAACGTCGGACTATCACAGAACAGCTGTACTTAAACTGAACGTGAATTGATTTAAGTGGTCACAGATCACTTTGAGAATATAGAGTATTGTGTAGGCTGGTTTAAATGACTAGATAGCTCTAAATGAGTGACTTAATCATGATTAGCAGATAAAAACATCTGATGGATAAAAATAATTTCGATCATACATAAGTACTGACAAACCAACATGAAGTAGATGTAATCAAATGAAAAACGTACATTTTCTTCCTTTTTTAGTAGTCATTCTATTAGTTCTACGTGGTGTAAACCTGAGGATGACCATTAAAAACGAAAGAAATTTCGTTTTTAATGTTTGTTTTTCATTTGATTAAATCTACTTCAAGCTGGTTTGATGATATTTATGTATGGTTGAAATTATTTTTATTGCTTTATACTAGTAATTTTGTGGAGATTTTATCTGATGGCTAAGATGGTAAAGGTGTCAACCTACTGCTATGAGACATTTGGGTTCCAGTCTGAGTCAAATTCTCAAATTTTTGTGAATGTTTTGACTTAGATATATTGAATCTTGTTCCTTGTTATCCATCTGCCCTGCTGTATGCTTGGTCAAACTCACAACAGATACCAAAAAGGCTGTCTTAGTGTTATACAGTGGAAAAACTTCTTAAAAGAATGCATTTTTATTCAAATTTATGCCCATAAATTGGAAGTTAGTTATAAATAGTGTTCATGTGCATAAAATGAAATGTGCTAATTGATCAACTTGATCAACCATCCAGTCACAATGTATAATAATTGCAAATATGAATGTAATAGTTTACTATTTGATCTGTTTAAATAATCTCATCATTTCAAATTTTGCAGGGTGGGAAAGTCACTTATTACTCCTGCTACAGAATATAGAATATATCCAAAGTTAATTTGCTTATGTCAGGAACACATTAGACAAAAGGGAAAACAGATTGACATGTATTACATGCATAGCTGCCATCTTGAATGTGACTCCAAAACTAAATGGGAAAGGGGTCATGTGACACATCATTTAGGATCAGAATTTCACAAAGAACTGATTGCTGAAAGATTTTATTGACCTGTCTAGAACAGTTAGAGTTATGCACATTACATGATGTGCTCAATGTACATTCTTTGGGTACATTCTATATTCTGTAGCAGGGGTGTTAAGTGATTTTCTTTTCCACCTTCTACTGCTAATGGTTTTCTGGCTGTGATAATCAAAAATGTAACTAATTGATATTTTAGTAGTAGTGAAATTGTATGATAACATTATTTGATGAAAATAACAATGAGAAGTTATAATAAAATAAAAACGTTTGTACTTAGTGATTAAACTGCTAGAAACAAAGTGTGAAAGGTTTTCTCTTACTTATTTTAAGTAGTTTTAGCTTTGAATGCATAGAAGTATAATAAAATAAATATTCAAAAAGAAGAAATCAGTAAAAATATAAAAGGATCTAGATTTAAAAAATTCTTTAATAGACAATATGTTACTAAGATATTTGAGGATAAATCTGTATAAAATCAGTTCCATTTTTGTCTGTTTAATAATATAATATCAGAGTTATCATTTCAATAACTATCAATGTAAAGTAGTATTCAGCTGCACAAACATATTCTAATGACTTTTGTTATAAGCAAAGAAAATGGCACACTTGCTTTCCAAAAGTACTTTATTATGAAGAAAAGTTTGATTTGCTCTTTCTGCTCTAAATGTGCTAAGATTAAATGTGAGGTTGTGTATCCTCAGCAGATGGCCTACTGGTCGTCTGATCTTTGCCTTTGGTGAAAGCCAGAAGGTCACAGGCTTCTGCCTAGCTTGGTGTTAGGGCCAAGCTATGCCTGTGGTCACCACGGCATCCAGTGCTGGGGGAGGTCATTTGCTGATGTCGGCTCCCTGGTTGTAGGGTGTCAATAGTGATGGAGGTCCACGAGTCCAAAACCAGGCTAGCTTGGTGGAGGATTCTCAAACTTTAATACATCAGTATTTTATCTGACACACCATTGGTACCCTATTCTTGGAGTTCTCAGTTAGCCATTACTATACGAGCTAAAATTCTAAAAGGAATTTCATTAGGAGCAACTCTTTACAATATAAGACCTTCTAAAGTTTACCTCTTGTAATGCTAAATGAGTTTCAAAAGTTGATGAAAATGAAAAAGTTATTCTTAGTAAACAGTTAGTGAGGAACCTTTACAAAATAAAGTTATTCTTTGAGTTTGTATGGCTAAAATAGAGAAGATGAAAGAACTTTGGAACATACAGTGATACCTCAACTTACGCTACCCCGACTTACGTGAACTCGGAGTTACGCGATTTTCAAATCTCGTCGATTCGTCTTTTGTTTGAGCGCCACGCACTCTTGATTACTCACTCCCCCCACACTATTGTTCGGCTTACGTGTTCGGACGTGTCGCATGGAATCGACACATAGCTACAATTTATTTTGTGTTATTTATTTCTGTGTTTGTTATATCTACAGAGACTTGAGAGACTCTATATGGTGATTTCTTATAATCGTGAACGAATCAAAAGACGAGATAAGATTAACGAGAACATTTATTAGCTTACATACATCCGACTTAGATTTTACACAAATTGGAAAATTATACCCCGACTTACGCGAATTTGACTTACGCAGTTATCGCTCGGTCCCACCTATTGCGTAAGTTCAGGGTATTACTGTAATATGCTGCGAAGCATTGTTCTTGGAACCTGGTTCCTTTTAGAATTTTCATTTATACAGAAATAGCATACAATTATAAAAGAGGGTCAGTGGCATTCAACAGAAATAGTGTGTCTCATAGCAAAACTGACAAAGTGAGAAAGTAGAATAAATCCTTATCACAAAAGAACTTTTGAGATGATAAATGTATAATCAACTTTTATTAGTTATGGAAGTATTGAACATAAAGCATTGCAAACAAGCATCTGTAAGTAGGATTTCCTTTCCAGAATATTATGTTATCAAACATTGTAAACATCATATAAATATATATATATATATATGGGTTTCTCATTTCCCAGTCTTTTGCTTGTCTGGGATAGAATTAATTATTTTTAAGATAAACAAAATATCATGAAATCGAATGATATAATTATTTTTCATTTTTTAAAATAATTTAATACATTCTGCAACCTCCAAAATCATATTAATAATGCTGTGTAAGATATATATTAAAAATTACTTTGAATTACGTAGAAATTTTCACAAATAGAAAAATTTATTAAAGTTTGCTGGAAACTGCATACAACAGCAACAAC